AACTATCGTGAATTTGTCCATTAAATTGTTGATTTTATAGGAAAACCATGTACAAGAAAATAACTTCTTAGTACCACCTCTGTGGAGCTCGTGATGAGTAAATGATGATAAATATAAAAGTGACCCTGGACCACAAAACCAGTCTTAAGTCGCTGGGGTATATTTGTAGCAATAGCCCAAAATACATTGTATGAGTCAAAATTATAGATTTTTCTTTTATGCCAAAAATCATTAGGATATTAAGTAAAGATCATGTTCCATGAAGATATTTTGTAAATTTTCTACCATAAATATATTAAAACTTAATTTTTGATTAGTAATATGCATTGCTAAGAACTTAATTTGGACATCATTTGCACCCTCATATTTTCAAATAGTTGTAATAGTATCTCGGCCAAATATTATCCTACTCTAACCATACATCATCGGAAAGCTTATTTATTCAGCTGTCAAATGATGTACAAATCTAAATTTTGAAAAATTGACCCTTATGACTGGTTTTGTGGTCCAGGGTCACATACATGTATATATATTTATAAATTAGTGTGTAGCCAACAGTATTTAAAGCTGGTCATTTAACTATTAACTGTATACTTTGCGGAACGTTTTTTTAATCTGATTTTTTAGGATTTATAATTGTAACTGAATAACACTCCTTAAAACAGACAATTCATGACTTTGTATGAATGTTTTTTCTGCATAAATGAAATGTCACAAGCAGAGAAGTATAATGCCAAACTGATTTTATTTAAAAACAAGTCTGTCTTTGTAATAGTGTGATATAGTCAATATTTACACATTTTCGATTTTGACATCTAGCAAAATGTATAAGTTGCAAAACGTTTAAACAATAATTTAGGCCAATGTTTAAACTGCAGGTAAAATGGATTTCCAGCTTATTTTACTGTTGTTTAAGAATTACAGCCAGAATTAGTGCTGTTTGTTTTTCCATTAGAAAAACTGAGCCAGGTAATATGAACGACTGAAATCAATAGATTTCAATTTGTATGCCCATGCATCTCCTCCAATAATAATTTTTCTGTTGTGTATATAGTTAAACCGGCTATAAAGATGAGTGCTGCCGTCTCTGTCTGTCCAGTTCAAAAGAACATGGCAACCCTTCCTACATCAAGCACCCATTCCTTTCATGAAATTACTCAGTCATAATTTTCCATCACTACAGAATCTTTAAAAAAAAAAATCAATATGGACACCATGAGGACCAAAAAAACAAAAGGAGTCTCAGGTTTTGAGCAGTTGGCTGTCTGCAAAAAAGCAAATATTACATGTAAATAATGTGGCAGATTGTAACAAATCAAGCACTCTGAATCTGTACAAAGTATACTAGTACTCTGCAATAATACTAACTGCATAAAGACAAAACTTAAATATTCTTGCATTGTTAACCAGTAACACAAACAGAGTGAATATGAAGTTGCAACTGCACATTCAACCAATGTACCGCAGAGGGGTGAAAAACTGACCACGTTCACATAGTATACTTCCCATTTAGTCTAGTGCAAATATGGTCCCACCTACAAAAAAAAGTGCAGGTTGAAACAAAGATGCATGGCACAAGAAAAATCTCATGAGAGGATTTGTGAAGTGCTCGTTATGCTCCGCTCCTTATGGTAATTCCTCATTTGCACTGATAAAGTTCAAGGTTTTTTTTCACACATGGGATGCAAAGGTTTGAGATGAAGTACTCAGAGATTTCCCTCTATAACTCCATGTCTTCCTCTCCAGAGTTGAGGAGCGCTGGGCTGCTGAACAGGGGGCTAAAAGTCTGCTCATTGGGTGCAGTGAACTGGGGCTTGGGTGGGGGGCTGCTGATAGGCGGTACAGGGGTGGGAGTCTGTCTGCTCACTGCCAACTGCTTGCGCTGCTGTCTCTGTAAAGAGTCCTTCAGCCTCTGGGTGAGAGGGTCCTCTGGGGGGCGCCACAACACCAATTCCATACAAGAGCAGCTCCTGCAGAGGTGAGTGAAGAAGATTGTGCTAAGCTGGATTCCTTTACAATGAGCTCAGTGCTGTTGGTAGAAGCTGATGCTCTGTTGCTGGTTTGGGAACATGTTTCTGTTGTTTTCATACAATGATGAAAAGAATAAGAATCAATATGATTTCATATGATCTGCTTTGACTGTTTAGAATGGGTCATTTAAAACTACAGGAAATCAAATATCAGAATCAGAAGAGCTTTATTACCAAGTATGTAAATATGTGACTCTGGACCACAAAACCAGTCTTAAGTCGCTGGGGTATATTATTAGCAATGGCCAAAATCATTGTATGGGTCAAAATGATAGATTTTTCTTTTATGCCAAAAATCATTAGGATATTAAATAAAGATCATGTTCCATGAAGATATTTTGTAAATGTCCTACTGTAAATATATTAAAACTTAATTTTTGCATTGCTAAGAACTTCATTTGGAAAATTTTAAAGGCGATTTTTTTCTCGATATTTACATTTTTTTTTGCACCCTCAGATTCCAGATTTTCAAATAGTTGTATCTCGACCAAATATCCTATCCTAACACACCATACATCAATGGAAAGCTTATTTATTCACCTTTCATATGATTTATAAATCTCAGTTTCAAAAAATGTACCCTTATGACTGGTTTTGTGGTCCAGGGTCACATATATTTACTTTCATCATAAATGTCCCTTGTCTTATTTAGGTGTTTTAAAAGGTATTTTTCAGAATCTTACAATACATCAAAAATTAATACTTTTCCCCCCCCACCCTGTGTGTTTTTTTTTTATTACCATGTTTTGATTTTACACTATTGTTCAAAAGTTTGGGGTCTGTAAGATTTTTCAAGTTTTTAATGTTTCTGAAAAAATCTCATATAGGCTGCATTTGTTTGATGAAAAATACAATAAAACAGTAATGTGATGAAATATTATTATTCGTATTATTATAAAATAACTTTTGTATTTTAATATTTTTTTAAATGTAATTTATTCCTATAATGGCAAAGCTGAGGTTTCAGTCTTCAGTTGTCACATGATCCTTCAGAAATCTTTCTAATATGTTGATTTGCTGCTCAAGAAATATTTCTTTCTATTATCAATGTTGAAAACAGTTCATACTTGTGGAAACCTTGATAGATTTTTTTTTCAGGATTCTTTGATGAATAGAATGTTTTTTTATTATTGTTTTTTTAGTTGTTATTACTGTTTATTATGCTTGACAAGTAGCATATATAGAAACCTGAAAATAAGACACGTACACCGACTGTGCTACCGTATGGGGCAGAATGTCACCAATCCCACGTTGTAGCCCCTCCTTTAAGCTGTCGGACATCACCAGCACTGGTCTGCGCTGAGCCGGTTCCACATCAAGCTCTTCTTCATCGCTATCATCCTCCAAAGTTATCCTGTAACACACACACACACACACACAATATATCAAGAAGACTGCCTATAAAAATCTACACTTTTTAAAGGTAGCATAACATCAGTTTGAACTTTCATAAATGTCATTTCTGAACAATGACTCCACAATGACGCACTTTCTCCCATTTATAAGTAATAGGAGTGCACTGTCTTGGTATCTAAAGTCTTTGAATGTACACATGTACAGCTTGAAATCAAGCTAATGACGTCTTCATTTCTGTCTCACCTGTCTTCTATCTCTTGCAATCTCCTCTGAGTGGCCTCTACCTCCATGCCTGAGCCTTCTGTGGGAACTCTGGGTAGTGGAGAGGGAGTGGATGTGAAGGGCAGACCCATCTCCTCTGTCCTGGGTTCAGTCTGCAGTTGAACCGGGCTGGTCTCAGAAGGGGAAGTGGTGGTAGAGTCCACAGACCATCTTTGGCTCACTTTAGGACTTGGATAGTCATCTGCTCCTTCCTTTCCCATCAGCTTTCGCCGTTTAGGACTGCAGCTTCTGTAGGGGAAAAAAGGTCATGAAAATCCCACTGCAGCACATGGCAAATCTCATGAGTGAAAACTATTTACTTACTCATCATCTGTCCTTCTCCTCTGCTTCCTCGTGCATCTTCTATCCCAACTTTTAAGTTTAAATGCACAGACAAATAAGATGTGAAGTCTTCATTTAATTGCATAAATGAAGACTGTATGATAGCACAAGACACGTAATACTTACGTATTTGGCATAGATCCACCTGTCAGATGATGCAAGTCTCCGGTTGGCTTGCTAATTGTGCCCAAATCAGTGTTACTAAAGTGAGCAAGCGGGGAGAATGTGATGAACTCCAGCTCGCTGCTGCCTGACCTGGTGCTCTGCATGGTCCTTCAGCAGCTGAAGATGAGCTGAAAACATCAGAATTAAATAGCAACTGCAGTCACGCAGTGTGAATAGAAGTAGAAGTATCTGGAAAACAGAAAAATGAATAAATCAATGGTTCTGGACGTTCAGAACAGGTCATGCAGATGTTCTGTACAACATGACACGAGTTATACTATGGGTATAGAAGGCAAACTCACAGTTTTTACCTTTAAAAAAATATTTAAACCTTATACATACTTACATAATTAATGGTTATTGTTTTAAGTAGGACAAACTGTCATTTGCTGGTGTGAGTGGTAGGTGTAATAAGCTAAACTGGTCGCTAACTTGGTAAATTCATATTTTCCTCCACCGTAGGCCATGACATTGTAATGAAAGTCTTTTATGCTCTGAAAAACTAAATGTTGATTTCAGTTTTGCTTGTAATGGTCTTTAATAATTCGCCAATAAGAAATATTATGGTACTCTGGATAAGAATAACTTGAATTGATCGCTGGCTGTAGCTTGAAACATCCTCTAGTCATACGCCCCAGAACAAGCAAAACAAAACACCGTCAGGTCATTAGGAACACAAATACTTACCTCTCACACGCTCCCGAAAGCGGAAAGCCAATTTTGCTTAAAATGTGGAAAGGTGTCTAAAGACAACTGACATGAGAAGTTGCAAGAGCCTAAATTTTAAGACGCATTTCTCGAACAGTGTGCAAGTGAGCGGGGCTTCATGGGATTTGTAGTTCGAAGGTTTTGTAGTTCTTTAACCGGAAGTGTGCTATAATAACAGTAAACAAACTCACGTTTGGGAAGAAAGAAGAAACATTTTCTTGCTGTTAAACATTAGAAAAACCCTAGTGAAGAAAATAGTTCAAGACAAAAATGGAAGATAACATAATTTAGAGCACAGGTCGACAATAAGTTGCAAAACTACAAACTCTGTAGATGAGTAACTCCCAGAAACTCTAACTAATGTGTTAGTAAAAGAGAGTCAGTTGTTCAAAGCTACACGCAAGAGTGAAGTTGATTTGAAAGTTATGTATGGAAGAGTTGAGTGCAAGAGTATTATTCAGCAAAAAATAAAGCAAATATGGCAGAAAGAATGGGAAGAAGGAATTAAAGGTAGACATTATTTTTCAATTCAGCCTACACTAATGCACACATCATTCACAAGATTAGAGAGGAGGGATAGTGTGGTAATCACTAGATTAAGACTGGGGCATTGTGCACTGAATTATGGGCTGGCAAGGGTTGGCAAGCATCCAGATGGCAGATGTTTGTGTGGAGAATTAGAAACCGTGAAGCATGTAGTAATGGAGTGTGAAATTCTTCGTGCTGCAAGAAACCACATGTTTTCTGATCTGTTGGAATCCGGAGTCTCATCTTTATCTTTTAAATCAATTCTTGAAAATAAGGAATATGAAGCAACAAAGGTTGTTATAAGTTTTTTACTCCACACAGGTCTTGAGATGAAGTTCTTCAGATGAGCTGGGGAGGGCAGCAATACGCCTTTGAAGCGTCTAAGCTGCCGCAAATCATACAAGAAGAAGAAGAAGAGTCAGTTGTTCATTTTTAACTGGATTCAGCAAGATACCTAACTTGGTTTAAAAATGGTAAGAACCACTAACAGTTTGACTAAGTATATTGATCAACTTTTCGTTAGTATGATACAGAATGTTTAAGCTCAAAACTCATTAGAAGTTAGAAATTAGTTTACTGCTTGCAAAATAATAAAATGTTAATATGCTAATAACGAATTTCATCAGTTGTCTGTGTTGTTCTCAGATTACTCTTGTCATTGTGAGTGCGCTGCTGCTGGCGCTGGCTGCTGGAAAAGCTTGTGGTAAGATTGAGTTTTTCTTTTCTTTCTATTTATTTATTTTTGCGATTTTGATTAGTAGTCATCTTCTGCTCATGTGTGGTGGGGAGATGACAGGAAGCCCCGTCATTGCGCAATGCCTTGTCCTATTTCCACAATAATAACTTTGCAAAAAGTAATCAGTACAAATGATGGACATAGATGGTAATACCACGGTTCTTTGGCATATACAGAGATACTGAATCATCATCATCATATTCATATACTATTCAGATATTTTAAATTAAAGATGGCCACAGAACTATTATGTCCAAAAGAATAGTAGTCTATAATAGTCTTTTTTTGTGTGTGTGTAGGTTTAGATTTTTTTCCAGTATGTTTTTATTGATGTCTAGTGGTTATCATCCTTTTGTAGAGATTGCTGTAGGGATTTGTTATCCTGTATAGTCTACAATTATTCTGCAATATCATAATAACCTATAATGTACTATACTGTAACCAATTAATGTAACCATTAATGTACTATTCTATAATCCAGTTACTCTAACCAATTCATAACATTCATCTTATTCTTACTGAGTCATTTCAGTTTGTCCTGTCAGCAGAAGTTCTGCTCAGAATACTTGGAATCATTTCACTCTGCTCATTGCCCTCTCTTTTGTGACTGTGACAATTCTGAGACTAAATGTATTTTATGGGTTGCATGAGTAGGTGAAAAAAAGGTCGCTGTGACCTGTATCGCTGAGACAGCAGTGGACATAAACCAACTATACAGTGGCACTGTACTGTAAATAAGCAACAGTGGTCAATGAGAACAGTGATGCAAAGTTTATAATAGTCTGCATTTAATTTCATACTCTCTATTTTCTCGGTATCATCTTTCAGCATCAGATCACGAGGCTCTTCTCCTGTCCCTCAATAAACAGCTGCTGCGCTCCGTGGACACGCAAGATACCCTACCCAATCCCAGTGTGCACATCGCCCTCCGGCTCTCAACATACCATAATCTAGCTAAAGAGAGCAAATATCTCAACCGCCTCAAGGCAGAGTTTCATGATGATATTGAGAAGTATGGAACACGTATAAACTTTAACACAACGGTAAATTACTTCAGGAGCAATTTTCACTGTAGTGGAAATATATTCCACCGTTCCTGGTTCTGTGGTATATTCTGATCTGTTCTATTCTATTCTAGAATATTGTTCTATTTCAACTGATTTTGGTTCTTATTACTATTCTATATATCTGCTTATAGATCTCTCAGAAATAATGAGTTGGTGGTTGGCCGTCTTGCCCTGTACATCTTGGCTTTAAAGTCTTCCTGTCATGATCTGGAGAGTGTACATCTCACTCATAATGAAATAAAGGAGTCTCTCCTCATTCACCTAAAGAAAGAGATGGAGGAAGAAAAACAAAACATTGCATGTGAGGGCCAATTTTTTTGTAATAGGGTCTGGTAGATTTTTTTTATGTTTTTGAAAGAAGTCACTTATGCTCGCCATGGCTGCATTTATTTGATTAAAAATACAGTAATATAGTAAAATGTAAATGTATTAATGTGATGGCATAGCAGAATTTTTACGTTACTCATTACTCCAGTCTTCAGTGTCACCTGATCTTTTTGTGCTGCTTAATATTTTTGAGGAAAACTGTGGTAGATTTGATTTGAAATATAAATCTTTTGTAAAATAAATTTTAATGCATCCTTGCTGAATAAAAGTATTAATTAAAAAAAAACTTACGGACACCAAACTTTTGAACAATAGTGTATATGTAATTTTGTTGTACTGTAATTTTAATATTAACTCTTTTCTGCAGTCGGTCACCGTCCAAAGACCAACTACTATCAGTACTCTCTGGGCATTCTGGCTCTGTGTGTGAGCGGTGTTAGAGTCAGCACACATGTCAGCCAAAAGCTCATCCATGCTGTGGAACACAGACAGATAAAACACGGCGAGTCATTATGTGTCGGTGAGTTTAAATCAGCTTTTTTTTGGTTCACCTAAACATGAAAATTCTGCCAAATTTGCCCATTGGCCTCTGACCATCATGGCCTCCTAATCATCCCCATACACTGATTGGCTTCATCACTTTTGTCTCCTCTCCACCAATAAGCTGGTGTGTGGTGGGCGTTCTGGCGCACTATGGCTGCCGTCGCATCATCCAGGTGGATGCTGCACACTGGTAGTGGTTGAGGAGTTTCCCCCGCTTTCATGTAAAGCGCTTTGAGTACCCAGAAAAGTGCTATATAAATGTAACAAATTATTATTATTATGTGTCGGTGAGTTTAAATCAGCTCTTTTTTGGTTCAGCTAAACATGAAAATTCTGTCATCATTTACTTACCCTCATGTAAATCCAAACCCCCATATGACTTTCTTTCTTCTGTGTTGCACAAAACATTTCAAGCAATTACAATGAATGGAAACTGAAGTCTTCACACTTCAAAAAAGGATGCAAAATACCGTCAAAGTATCCCATATTTCAAATTTTCTGAAGCCATACAGCTTCATTAAAGTGCGATGTCCAGCACAGTCAACATTTCTCCTTTGTGTTCTCCTTATGTATTAAACTTAAGGAAATATGTTCACTTGTCCTGAGGTCACTAACCAATATGACTTCCTTCTTCACCCTTCAGACTCGCATGCGATGGCAGGCATGGCCCTGCAGTGTCTAAAAGACGAGGGAACTGCTGTTAAAAATACTGCAGAGCTAGACAGGGCACTTGCCAATATTAAGCAGAGGCTTCTTGACTCTAAGAGAACTGATGGTCACATGGGCAATGAGTTCAGCACAGGATTGGCAGTGCAGGTAAGAATAAAGATATTAAACATTTGGTTAAATGAAAGAGCCTTATTTGCATGACAGGTTCTCATTGTTCTCTATCTTACAGGCCTTGATGGCTATGGGCAGTCAGATGGAGGAATGTGGCTCTGCTATGGAGGCTTTAAGGGCAGATGTTATGAAAGGAACATACCATAACCCTATGGCAGTCTCCCAGGTCCTGCCAGCTCTACACCAACGCACTTATCTTCAATTGAAGAGCCAAGAATGCTGCAATGAGGATGGTACGTACAACAGACATACAAGCTCATTTAAGTATCAATCAGCAGAATTGCATTTGCAGTCCTAAGGCTTGTTTTTCCGAAGATAAACAAAATAGGCTGCATTTTTATTTATGTTAATAAACCTGTATGCATAAAGGAAATGTACCATTAAATGCACTATTCAAATTATTCAATTGTAATTATTATTCTAAATTATTACAATTATTAAAACACAATATATTAAGAGTAGTTCGGCGTTATATATTATATACAAATATTATATTTAATGTTTAGCAGCTAACTGAGTTTAATTAGGCAGGTTAAACTCAAAACCAGTTTTCCTAATAACTTCTGGGGGGGGGGTTTCTCCTTTTTTAAAATTTTCCATGTGCTTCTGGTTTGATGTCCCTGCTTTTAGACACTCTTACTATTGATGCGGATTCCGCTTCAGAAGTCCTCCCAAGTCACGGGCAAGTGTCTCTACAGGTGGAGGTTATTAAATCAAACGGTGCATCATCTGTGTTTTCCATTCATGTACCCACGGGCTCCTCCCTATTTGAAGCCCTCAACCTTCTCCAAGACAAACAAACTGGTTTCACGTGAGTTTGGATTTCTTAAGATACTTCATTTGAAATATATTGTCAAATCAAATTTGTTTGCTTTTTTACTGTATTAATTACAACTCTTTTTTTTATGTATTTTGTTTACGAACAACCCTTTTGCTCTGTGTATCACAGCTTTAGCACAGAGGACAGCTTGTGGGGACCCTTCCTCAGTGTGGTCAATGAAGAACAAGCCCGTCAGACCGATCGTAGATACTGGCATATCTCCTCAGATGGCAACTCTCTAAAACAGGGTGAGAACAAACATTCGTTTGATATAAAGTAGGCGTATCAATGCACGTCTATAAAAATGTATGGAACAATGTTTTTCAGACAGTTTTATAGTCTCTATATATCCTATATTAATGTGCGATGCTATGCATTTCTCCTCAGGTATCAAAGACTATAAGATTGATTCAGCTCAAAACATCACCATTAAGAACACTGGGTACTGATTCCTCAGCTGGATGCAAGAGAAGAGATGAATGGGATGAAACCTTAATATGTTTAAGAATTCTACTGATATAATTGAGTTTGATCTTTTTCTTGTCATAAACAACTTTCTGTTCGATTGTTGCCACAGTTTGCCTGGATGTATAAAGGTTCATGAAAACAGGAATCCGAACATAGCAATAATGTTGGTATTTTACTTAGAGATTTAATGCAATATACCTTTTGAAATCTAACATATATTTTTTTGTGTGAGACTGCAGCTGCTACGAATCTGGATGAACAAATATAAAATAAATATAAGAGAAGAGATGAATGGGATGAAACCTTAATATGTTTAAGAATTCTACTGATATAATTGAGTTTGATCTTTTTCTTGTCATAAACAACTTTCTGTTCGATTGTTGCCACAGTTTGCCTGGATGTATAAAGGTTCATGAAAACAGGAATCCGAACATAGCAATAATGTTGGTATTTTACTTAGAGATTTAATGCAATATACCTTTTGAAATCTAACATATTTTTTTGTGTGAGACTGCAGCTGCTACGAATCTGGATGAACAAATATAAAATAAATATATTACGAATTTTTTTTTTAATCTGGGGCTTCTTTAAAATGCAGAGAAAACCGTATCTCACACCATGGAGATAAAATGTTTACTGTTGCATGTAGTTGCACTAATGAAGACACCTAACATATATTCCCTTACGTTATTTTTCATGCTGAACCAAAACGTAAAACCAGCGGAGCAGTGTGGTACGTGGTATACAGTGTTATGGCCACTCCGTATGGAAAAGCATCGAGTAATGAACCCTTTTTCTCAAAGGAAGTCTCAAGTTCGTTAAGCCATCATCATTATTTTATGCACAGCTGTGCTATTGCTCTGCTAATTCAACCTTCAGAATCTGGTCTTACTGGTGGAATGTGAAATCAGTGAAGACTGCAGAAGCAAATTAGCTTTTTTAGGTAACTGAAACAACACCTGGGTTGTGCATGGTTTATTATGAAAATAAATGAAATAAACCAGACCACGCATATATAGGAGTGAAACACTGTATCGTGTTTTTGTTTTACTGTATACGTGATATGTGTGTGTCATATTGACATTATCTAGGTTTTCAGTGAAAATCTCGGCTAAACGAACTCGTATTGAGACTTTTATTTTGAAATGTAACATTCGTGAGTGTAGCTGACCTTACCGGTACGTACTTCACAAATACACAGAGCAACATTTCAATGATTTCATTATTGATACGCTGTAGAGGTTTTAGTATGAACACACTGCACAGCGAGTCACAAATTTAAGATGTGAAGGGTTGGATCCAATCACCTAGTTGGTCTAGTATAGACGACAATACCACTGTAAGTACAAGAGCATCACAAATCTGTTAAACGTACAGTTAACGTTAGTCAGTTCCGCGTTAGCAGGCTAGTATTTACAAGCGGCTGTCAACTATCTGACTTAACAGCAATCCACAATAGTACGTTTGTTTATATACAATTTGTGTTTTTAAAAAAAATCTTTGAGTGCTTTGTGCACACACTATTTTCTATATATATATATATAAACATCACGGTCATTTCTATAATGGTAGAAGTCGCAGTCTCAGGTTGTGTCGCTAAACTTAGCGAGCTGCTTACCTCGACAGCATTTTTGGACATCATTATACACGCACTTATGGTACTCCAAAATGTTGTCTAGGTAGGCAGCTTACTAGGTTTTGAGACACAGCCTTAGGCATCACTGCAAATTGGAGTTACTGCAGCATGTCAATCCACAAAAGAGGCTAGTTGTGTCATTTATACGTCTACAGCTGCATGTCTTCATATAATACATTGCATCTTCATTCAGTTGAGCTCACTGTTGTTGTTTCCTGGATGTTGTAGTAGCAGAACCTGATGAGCACTTGAATGAGGGTCTTGTAATGCTGGACTGCAGTAGCTGTGTCATTCTTTGGAAAAGATCTCAATACATTCTGAGATAGTATGCTGTGTAAAAGAAGGACTCTCAAACAAGAGTAGAAATGCTTCATGAGCATTGCAAGAAAACTGTCCACCCACAGACAGACAAACTGGGGACATCATAGAGACCTATTTGAGACTAGTACACATCCATAATACACATCTAGAGGCATAAATTGGTCAAGATGTTTTCCGCTCTGAAGAAGCTTGTTGGTTCTGAGCCGGCTGGTCCAGTAAAGGACAAACACATCCCTGCTGGCCTGCAGTCAATGAACCAGAGCCTGCAGAGAAGATTTGCTAAAGGGGTTCAATACAACAGTAAGTCAAATGCCTGCAGAGTTAAAACCTTGAGGGGAAATGTATTATTAATGATAATTAAGAATTAGAATGTGCAAGTTTTGAGATTGGTTGTAATTTATTTAACTTGTTTTGATGTTTCTTTGCCTCAATTTTTTACCAAGTTTAGGCTAAATGAAAAAAGACATTGGACTAAATTATAACACACACAGCATGTCACCACAAATCAAGTCTGTGTTGCTAGAGCCCATGGGCGCTGTGTGCTAGAGATAATGTTATTAACACAAGCTCTAACATGTTATGTGTGGTCTTTCAGTGAAAATAGTTATTCGAGGAGATAGAAACACTGGAAAAAGCACCCTGTGGCATCGGCTGCAGGGTAAGAAGTTCCAGGAAGAGTACATTCCCACTCAGGAGATCCAGGTCACTAGTATTCACTGGAATTACAAAAGTAAGCTGTTGTTAAAATCTTTTTACTTACAGGCTTTTGTACTAAAGTTTTATTTCTTATTTTTATCTAATGACATTTCTTTCCATTTATGCATCTTAAATATGTCAAAATAGATTTACATCAAGGTAAATATGCAATCTGTCAGATAGAGGATAAGTAGATTAGAAGTATGGCTTTTTAATGGCCTGTATCAAATATTAGTAGCATAGTGATTGATCTAGAGCAGGGTTCCTCAAATCTTACCCTGGAGGTCCAATGCGTTGCAGAGTTTAGCTCCAACCTTGATCAAACTCAGCTACCTGTGATTTTCTAATGATCCTGAAGACATTGATTAGCATGCTCAGGTGTGTTTGATTAGGGTTAGAGCTAAACTCTGCAGGAAAGTGGATCTCGTGGGCCAGATTTGAGGATCCTTGATCTAGAGTTTGTTTTCCCTATTTATGTACATCCATCTGTCAAAAGCTCAACATCACGTGGTGTAACCTGTTGGCTGTAATTTACAGTGAGGCTTCCTGCTTTTGAGAGCGGGCATGGCTCTACTTGTATCCAATGTGTTACTTGGAAAAACAAAGTGCTGTGCTCATTGCAAAGCACTTTTGGCAAAGTAAAAATAAAAGGAATAGTTCATCCAAAAATGAAAATCCAAGATGTAGATGAGATTGTTTCTTCATCGGAACATGTGTTTTTATCAGCTATTTGGTTTCTCATTCTGATGGTACACATTCACTGCAGAGGGTCCAGTGGTGAGCAAGTGATGTAATGCTAAATTTACCTGTTCTAACGAAGAAAAAAAAAAAATCTTCATGTTGGATGGCCTAAGGGTAATTTTTTTTAATTATCATATTTTCATTTTAGATTAATTATTCCTTTAGGAATAAGTTAATAAAAAAAATCAACAAGAAAATTCTTAGGCTGTGGAAATTTGTATTTGTATTGCTGTAACTTAGAATCACTGCAAAATAAATGTATTGAAAGGAAGCAACCTCAGTTTTCCAGACCTGCTCAAATTCTTCTCATTTCTCTTCAGCTACTGATGATGTGGTGAAGGTAGAGGTTTGGGATGTGGTTGATAAAGGTGAGTTTCCTCCAGACTATTACAAGTAATTTCTCAGCATTCAGATCAGGTGACTTTATAGACTTTATTAGTGTCATATTTATCTTAAGGCTGGAATACACTACAAAACTTTTGCACAGTTTTGCCCTGATTTGCAGTCTGGAGGAGTTAATGCTTGCAGCCAGCAGATATTGGGCAGTCAAATTGGAAGATTTCACAGAAAATGGCATAATGTATGATGGGCACAGACTCTGATGTATTTATTTTGTGCTTCAGTCTGTAATTCCAACCATTTGGAAGACATCAAACATGTTTTATATTTTAAGCAAATTTTAGAACAATGTTTTAATTTGTCTCTTGTCTCTTTTAGCAACAAGGTGCATGCTTGGGTTTGAGCTTGTTACGTCTGATAGTGCGTGACACTCAGCTGTTTATTGTGCAATGTCCAAATGTTCTCTGTAACCATTTACAAAGTCTGGAAGTGTATGATGCCTAGTTTTATGATGATGTGGTGAAGGTAGAGGTTTGGGATGTGGTTGATAAAGGTGAGTTTCCTCCAGACTATTACAAGTAATTTCTCAGCATTCAGATCAGGTGACTTTATAGACTTTATTAGTGTCATATTTATCTTAAGGCTGGAATACACTACAAAACTTTTGCACAGTTTTGCCCTGATTTGCAGTCTGGAGGAGTTAATGCTTGCAGCCAGCAGATATTGGGCAGTCAAATTGGAAGATTTCACAGAAAATGGCATAATGTATGATGGGCACAGACTCTGATGTATTTATTTTGTGCTTCAGTCTGTAATTCCAACCATTTGGAAGACATCAAACATGTTTTATATTTTAAGCAAATTTTAGAACAATGTTTTAATTTGTCTCTTGCCTCTTTTAGCAACAAGGTGCATGCTTGGGTTTGAGCTTGTTACGTCTGATAGTGCGTGACACTCAGCTGTTTATTGTGCAATGTCCAAATGTTCTCTGTGATGCCTAGTATGATGCCTAGTTTTAGAAAATCTGTTTTCATGTAGTGTATTCTAGCCTTCATGCATTTTCTTGCTTATGCCAAGTTTAGTCTACAGGTACTGCATGTCATTGTTTAATTCACTTCCTCCATCTCATTCTAATGGTCACACATGAAGCCATTTCATCAAGCCCTCCTTCATCCCCAGTCATTTATATTAATGGTATTTTTCTTACTTGCTGTCCAACCAGGCCAAAAAATCCCCCTTCCAGAAGGTGTAGGTGAGAAACTTCAGAGATTGTAGACTTTAGGCTGTGACTTGCCTGTGCTTGATCCATTTGTTCTTTTACCTGAGTGCCAACATGTTGTGTTGACTGAATTTTCAATCACTGCATTGTGGCAGACTATATGTAACTAGTCTAACGTGTCTGCTGGACTACAAGTGTAAAAAATGGAAGGTGAAGATACCCAGATACCACAAAACCTTGCTTTGTGAAAAGGAAGAAGCCACAAAAACGATTGCTATCTGTTTTTGATACTGCTTTTGAAGTTACTGAAAGTTGCTTTCAACTAATGATGAAGTCAAATTTTATGTACTCTTACAATATTCTGGCTTTGACATTCTCTAGGAAAGGGAAAAAAGAGATGTGAAACCTTGAAGTTGGACAATGAACCTCAAGAGGTAAATCTATAGTGATAATCTACCAATGTCTAACAGGCTGTTCCAGTTATGCTACCGTTGGTTATCAGTAAGATTTTTTTATTTTATGAAAGAAATTAATGCTTTTCTTTAGCAAGGATGCATTTAATTGACCCCCCAAAAAATTATATTTCAAATAAATGTCGTTTGCTGTTTTCAAGACTAATAATAATGCAAAATGTATCCTGAGCACAAAATCTGCATATTTAACCATTTTTGAAGGATGGTGTGACACTGAAGACTGGAGTAATGGCAGCTTTGCCATCACATGAATAAATTACTTTTTCAAATATATTAAAATAGTAAGCAGTTATTTTAAATTGTAAAAATATTTCACAATATTACTGTTTTTACTGCATATTTTAATCAAATAAATGCAGCCTTGGTGAGCATGAGAGACTTCTTTCAGAAACATACAAATGTCTCTGTGCCTTCAGCAGACGGAGAGCGAACTGGCCTTGGATGCTGAGTTTTTGGACGTGTACAAAAACTGCAATGGTGTGATCTTGATGTTTGACATCACCAAGCAGTGGTAGGTGAACAAATACAATTAGCATCTCTATAGACTACTTCTCCAGCATGCTAACTTCAGCTAGCCCTTAGTTTTACAAATCTATGCTTTTTATGATCCAATAGGACTTATAATTACATTTTGCGGGAGTTGCCCAAGGTTCCCACTCATGTGCCAGTGTGTGTACTTGGAAATTACCGGGACATGGGAGAACACAGAGTCGTTTTGCCTGATGACATCCGTGACTTCATTGCTGGCCTTAACAGGTTAGGGGTTGATGTTGAATTAAAGAGTTGAAATAGTGACTATGTTTACTAATGAGATGTGTTTAAGATCTTGTATTATTGTCAGTGGGCTGATGTTTGATGTCTCCATGATTTTGTAGACCCCTTGGTTCCTCTTACATCCATTATGCAGAATCTTCCATTAAGAACGGTTTTGGTTTAAAATATTTGCACCGATTTTTCAACATTCCATTCTTGCAGCTTCAGGTAAGCAGGTTCATTTTCTAGCCTAGAATATCTCTTCAAGGCTAAAGGTTTATTCAAATCAAAACTCAACAAGCTACCAGACAAAGCTAGTGAACATTTGTAATTGTTAATGTGTGTCATGTGCCCAGCACAAATGAGAGCAGTTATTTTTAACTGTATTCCCAGTTATCCCCAATTACTCTAGTTGTTACAGCTTTCATTGAAATGATAGTGAATGAAACTTTAGTTTGAAGTTCTACTGCCAACTTCCACAGAGAGAGACCCTGTTACGACAGCTAGAGACTAATCAGTTGGACATCGATGCCACGCTAGAGGAGCTAACAGTTCAGCAGGAGACAGAAGACCAGAATTATGAGATGTAAGAACTAAAAAACACCCCAAACAAGCTTCCTGTATAGTTTAATTCCATCTGCTGGACAGTCAAAGCATTACTCTGATTCAAATATCAGCAACATTCCATGCAAAAACAGCTATACAACTGTTCAAAAGTTTGGGGTCAATAATGTTTTTTAATCAATACTTTTTTCAACAAAGATGCATTCATTTCAAGAAATTGTATAATTTTTAAATTAATAATTGAAATCAAAAGTGACCGTAAAGACATTTATATTTTATATATATTATTTATTTATTGAAGAATCCTGTAAAAAAATTAAAAAACAAGGTTTGCAGCACAACTGTTCTCAACATTGATAACAAATAAGACATTTTTCTTTGAGCATCTAATCAGCATATTAAAAGGATTTCTGCAGGATCATGTGACACTGAAGACTGGAGTAATGGCTGCTGAAAATGTAGCTTTGCCATCACATGAATAAATTACATTTTAAAATATATCAAAATAGAAAACGTTTTTTATTGTAATCATTTTTCAGAATATTACTGTTTTTACTGTTTTCGATCAAATAAATGCTGCTTTGGTGAGCATAAGAGACTTCTTTCAAAAACATTTAAAAAAATCATACCAACCCCAAACGTTTGAACAGTATTGTACATTCCTTCACAAAAGTGAGATTGTTGGAAGATTGTTTGAAATTATGAGAACATGCTCAAATGCCTATTTTTAGGTTTGTGAACTGCAGTCAGTGCCCTCTGACTTTTATGATACAGTAGGTGTCTGTTATAACTTTCAGTTTCCTGGAAATGAAAGACTCTGGTATTAAAGGCTACAGCTCTCCCGGCCCTGCTAACGGACAGAGCCCCTCCTCAGGCTCGCAGTCTCCCGTCGTTCCTCAGAGTGGAGGCTCCACTAGCAGCTCCAGCCCCTGTAGCCCCCAGCAGCCTCCCATTCCTTCCCAGACCCTGAAGGCTCCATCCCCCTCTCCATCCCCTCCTCCTCCCCCTCTCTCCTCAACACAAGCGCCTGCGACCTCTCCCTCTCCCTCCCCTTCTCCTGCTCACCCCGGCCCGACGGTCTCTGCTCCAGCTCAGGCTTCTGCCTCTGCTACTCAAACCCAGAAACGCAGCTTCATCTCCAGGCTCTTTGGCTCCGCTCCCACCCAGGATCCTCCAGCAGTCGCCCATGGTGAGTTTTAGCATGGTGCTTCTAGCTGCATGTCGGTCAAGTGATTGTAAGCTCTTCAATCAACAGTATTTGTGTTCATTCTCACATTTTTCTCAGCTATTCTTTTGGATATTGTGCCGCATGACGGCTGTCATTTTCAGTGTGCTTATAAAATACTCAAAAGCAGAAACATTCAGCTTTTATGTTGGACTAAAAATAGCTTTTTACGTCTTTCCTCCTCAATCGTTCAGTGTTTCAGTGACTCATTGTTAAAGGACTGCTCTAATGCTATGAACTGCAGAAGAGATTTGAAGGCTGAGGAATTAATTCACACACACACACACACACACACACACACACACACATTCTCTCTCAGAAGGAGTATTCCCCGAGCGAGACCCACAAGGCTGTGAAAAATGGAGAGGATTAGGACTCGTGCACATCATAAGGATGTGTTGTGGATCAATAGAAAATCACAAGACCCTTTGCATTCCTGAATTATGGAGAGGATTTTATTAGCTCCTGCACCCCACCTAAAGCAGTTAATAGTAGCGATTTCGAAAAATGCATGTTGTTATATCTAATTTTTTTCATGTATTACCATTCTTGTTTAGAGCTTATAGTAATTGTTGCTGTTTATATATTTTTAATGCAAGTTGTTTTTGTCCCAGATCATGTGACCTCTTACTTCTTGGATTTCCACAGAGCCAGATCCAGTATCTGCAGCGGCTCCGCCTGCAGTTCAGAGCGTGGATGATTTTGTGCCAGACGACGGACTAGACAAAAGCTTCTTGGAGGACGGTGTCCCTTCTAACCCAAAACTGGCTATGAACACCCAGCCCTCTGCTGCGGGCCCTGCAGATAGTGACAGGTACATCAAGGGCAAATTAAAAGAAGCCATTCTTTATCAACTTTTATTACCGGTATGTGATATGCTATTTTTATTTTTTTTTATGTATTCAAAACGATATACACTACCATCCAAAGGTTTGGTTAAAATGGTTTTGAAAGAAGTCTCTTATGCTCACCAAAACAAATAGCATTTATTTGATAAAAAATCAAGTAAAAAGAGTTTTAATATATTGTACAATGTAATTTATTCCTGCGATGGCAAAGCTGAATTTTCAGCAGCCATTACTCTAGACTTCAGTGTCACATGATTCTTCATCTTTTCTTCATCAAATCATTCTAATATCCTGATTTGGTACTCAAATTTCTTATTTATTTTTTTATTTTTTATTATTATAAATGTTGAAAACATTTGTGCTGCTTAATATTTTTGTGGAAACCGTGGTATCGTAATCCTGTGATATTCTTTGAATGAATGAATGGTTAATTCTTTAATTAAAGGGATACTCCACCCCAAAATGAAAATTTTGTCATTAATCACATACCCCCATGTCGTTTCAACCCCGTAAAAGCTTCGTTCGTCTTCGGAACACAATTTAAGATATTTTGGATGAAAACCGGGAGGCTTGTGACTGTCCCATTGACTGCCAAGTAAATTACACTGTCAAGGTCCAGAAAAGTATGAAAGACATCGTCAGAATAGTCCATCTGCCATCAGTGGTTCAACCGGAACGTTATGAAGCAACAAGAATACTTTTTGTACGCGAAGAAAACAAAAATAACGACTTTATTCAACAATTCGTCACTGTAGCGCCATTTTGGAGAGTATTCACTGTCAGCCGCACCACACGGATACCTTTTCTACGTTTATTTACGCTTTGATTTGAACAAAAACAGCGTATCCGTGTTGTGCGGCTGACATGGCATACGCAGTTTGCGTTCAGTGGATACTCTCCAAAATGGCACTACGGTGACGAATTGTTGAGTAAAGTCGTTATTTTTGTTTTCTTCACGTACAAAAAGTATTCTCGTCGCTTCATAACGTTCCGGTTGAACCACTGATGGCAGATGGACTATTCTGACGATGTTTTTCATACTTTTCTGGACCTTGACAGTGTAGTTTACTTGGCAGTCAATGGGACAGTCACAAGCCTCCCGGTTTTCATCCAAAACATCTTAAATTGTGTTCCGAAGATGAACAAAGCTTTTATGGGTTTGGAAAGATATGAGTGTAAGTGATTAACGACAACATTTTTATTTTGGGGTGGAGTATCCCTTTAATAGAAAGTTCAAAAGAACAGCATTTATTTAAAGTAAACATTTTTGTCTCTGAGTCAGTGTAACTAGTCACTACAAAATAAGTTGAATTTACATCCATACTTGTAACATGTTTATTTTAGTGATGGGGAAGGAAAAGAGGGGAACCCCATGGTCGCTGGGTTCCAGGATGATTTGGACCCTGATGATGCAGAACTTGAACCCAGAGCTTCTATCCCCACTAAAGACTTGGACATCACTCTCTCCAGTGACGAGGAGGGTCCAAACCCTTCTGTAGCTCAGGATGAAGATCTGAACCCTGAACCTCACCTGTAAGCTTAGAATCCTGGCTTTCATTATTAATAGATTCGATTAATGAAACTATATTAAAGAGTGAGATCTTCATGAACTTGTAAATTGTAGCTGAAGCGAGTTTAGAATTTTTGTGTTGTGGGCAACATCCTGAACCCAGTCTGGTTTTCATGGTGATTGTTAATAATATTTGGTTATTTAGGGTGGCTATGGATTCATTATCACTGGAGGACAAACCAAAACCTATCCACAAAGAGCCTTTGATCCAGGCCCAGCAGAGTGTCAGCAGTCAGAACATAGAGACTTCCATTCTTAGTCCAGAACACAATACACGACCACTGCAGACAGCGGAAGCAGAAGCCCTGGCAGATCCCCAAGCACAGGTTGTAAAACAGAAAGAAAAATCGGCTCAGGCAGAGTCCTCTGACACAGACCCAGATGAGCCCGTGGCCAAACAGATGCTTTCATTTGTCATGGATGACCCTGACTTTGAGAGTGAGGAAGAAGTAATACAGAAAGTAGATAAGGTACTGAAGTGAAGTTGATAATGATGGGCATTGTATGTTTTGGTGACTTGTCTGGATAATTTAACCCAAAAAGACCTTTGCTTTCCTGTTTGCTCCAGGAATCTTTCCCAGTTAGAGATGATATTCCTGATCTATCCGATGATGACATCACCACAGCTAAAATTCCTGAGCCCATGAAACCTACTGTACTCTCCTTCAAAAGCAAGAATGACGGTGACCTCTTTGGCCTAGGAATCGAGGAAAAGTCAATCAAAAGCAAAGACAGCAGTGAGGAACAAGATGGCAAGTCACTTGAATAATGTTATTATAGGAAACCGATATTAGTGATAGACGATATAACAGTCAATATCGGTTTTCCTAGTGATTTTTGAATAAATATTGTGCAACACAAGTTGATGCACAACTTTTAACATTTATCGTAGTGTATATTTGCATAATATCAGCCATCAATAAACGCTTTCAACTTTTCTTCTCATAGAAAAAGAAAGCAAACATTCCAAGGAAAAGAAGAAAAAGAAAAAGGTGAATTTGATTCCATTATAATAATTCATATTTGAAATGACGGACTCTTGTTTTATAGCTACTTTGTATTTCATCTCAGGATGATGACAAAAGCAACAAGAAGAAACACAAGCACAAGAAAAAGGAAAGAGATGAGGCAGGTGTGACCGCGGATGAAAAGGAGAAGAGAAAAAGAAAGTCAAGAAGCAAGAAAACTGATGATCTTGAAGCTTTTCTGGCGGGAGAAGAAGACTCAGCGAAAAGAGAGGAGGGCGACTATGAGGAACTTTAACACTCGCTCTCTGCTAAAGAAATGTTTGTGCATTGGTACCACAAGCTTGAAAAAGTTCTCATCAGAAACCACAAAAACAAATGCTTTCTTTAACAACCCAACATATGATGATGTATTGATCTGACTGACAGGTTACGAAACACTTCACACTGGTTTTCCATTTGCTACAAACACTTGCCAATCCACCTTCCATCCCTGAAGAGGTTGGGATGGCCGGCGTAGTTCACACTCTTTGGGCTCAAACTGCAATAAGTGGAAAAGCCATGCAAAATTGTTACAACTTGCATGTAATTTGACCTTTGACGTTTTTCGGATTGAAATGGACCATTTTCACTCATAACATTGTGTTTTCTGAATGTTTACATGCTCACTTTTATATGGTTGCAATATTTTTGTCATCACATATGTGAACCACTACCACTCCAATACAACGGTTTTCATTGATTTTATTGCATTATTAGTTGCCTTGTGTATGTGGATGAATTGGTATTTATGCTCAATAGATGTTCTGAGAGCTTGGCTTTGTGTAGTGTTGCTGTGTGTTTAGTGTTTGAAATGAATATACTGTATTTCATGGTAGGATTATTTGTTTTTCCAAAATATATCAAGAAAAATATTTTAGAAATATAAGAGATTTTGGTCAATAAATGCACTCATGATAAGGCGGAAGTTACGATAGCAGACATAACTATTCTCACACTCTTTTAATGCAGGAAATGCCTTAAAGGAAACTACGGTTAAACTTGAGGTTTTTTTAGTTGTCAGTAATTAAGCCATTTTGCATTTTTGCACTCCATCGTTTGTCTACTTTATTGTTTAATGATGGTAAATTACAAGAAAAGATCATCTTGTCGTCTGAGTTTTTTTTTTTTAAGTCACTGTTGACTGAAACTGCTTTTGCTTGAAATTGGAATCAATACAAAAATTACTACAATATTTTTGTAGTGCAACTGTTTTTTTTTCTCTTGAACTAATAATGAAAGCAAGTTAGCAAAGACGCCAGATAATGTTAGACTTCACTTCAGTTTTGATACGGACAGTGTGCAATGATAAAAAAAAATTCAAATGTTTGTTATATATGCATTCTTACACAATTCATTGACATCAAGTGTTGAATTATGTGTTCATTGATGCTTTGTTACATTGCATGAATTGGAATTACATTTTTTAAAGTAATTTATTTGTAAAACTTTTTTCTTTTTCAAAAACGTAACACCATATAACCAAAATGGTTACCCCATACCACCCTTCTCCCCTCCCCCCAAACCCAAACATGCACCAAATATTCATGAAGGTAATCACACATAACCATCAGAAGAACTTCAGCCGGACCAAGGAAATGAAAAAGGGAAAAGAAAAAACAAAAACAGAGGAAATACAAAATCGAATGACACGTACACATTAGCAGCATAGCAAAGACATCTTTAAAATATAGACCTAGGGGCCCCAAATTTAGTCAAACATCTTTAATCTGCCCGCTCTATTGTTTTTTATATATAAGAAAATGTATTTGATTTGTTTAGGCGTATTATTTAAAGAAAGAAAACATGAAACACAATGTAGCCATGCTGTTATCTGCTATGTGTGAGCCTTTCTTTAAAAAATACATATATTATAAGGAATAACAACAATAGAAACTGTAGCTACATTTACACTTGACGGTTTGGGTTCAGCGATGTTCATATTCTTCAGTAAATGTGACTGCCTCATTCTTCCACCTCTTTTCTTTGGCATTAGACATCATGTAGGCTAATGTGATTATGTTGTCTGCAAATTGGATAATTTCAGTTAAAAACACATTTTATTGATGTTATCAGCGGAGACTAAATGAGATCAAAAACGAGCCGTTGCCCACTTACCTTTGTATCTCCATGTTTCTCTATGGTCAGAAAAACAGTGACATGTAATCAAATAAAAATAAATATTGACAGAGGTTAAAGACATGTTCAACGTACAAAGTATATTTAGTATTGAGGTGGTTTGTGAGGACTCACTGTTGGAATAAATGTGAGTTGAGATGCTCATCACAAGGAGGAAAATAAACAAAATCCAGCGGAGGATGGACCAAACAAAGTTAAATGGAGCTGCAATGGACATTATCATAGATTAATAAACTGTAAAAATGATCGTACTTTCAAAGGTAAAAGACTGTTATGCTATGGTACAAATCTCTTAATTAGTAAGATAGGTTAAGGTAAGTTCCTTTACAGCCTAAGGTGAAAAACAGTAAGAAATCTAAGGAAGCATTTCATGTAGGCCTAATTCAACGGTAAATTACATTTACAGTTGTTAGATGTGAAAAAAGTCATCTTTTTACAGTGAAATTTGCTGTGACCTCACATTTGATGTTTTTCAGGTACAAAACAGATTTTAGTCCGTCAGCATGCAGGTTAGTATATTAGCCTAACATTATATCATTTAACGAAATATACGATTTTGACTGCTTCAATCCGTAAAATCCGCTACCGTATTTTTACGGTAAAATTTCTGTAACCACAGATGCTGTTACTTTTTTCCTTAAATTTGTTTTTAGTTTTTTTTTTTTACTGTAAATTCCGGGGATTAAAACAGAATTAAATTTTTTTTAAATGAAATTGTAATTGAAATGAAGAAAATTTAAGCTTGTTGAAAATATTTTTAACAGTGCTCCCGTACACTCAGGAAACCATCTAAAGGGAAATAGAGAAGTAGTATTTCATCTTACTATTGGTAAAGTATTCCTCGGCCAGTTTAACGATGATATTGTCTTCAGTCATGAACCCACACCAGTAGAATCCATCCCCTTGTGTGAATGTCTTTACGGAGACGGTGAATGACTTTTCATCTTCCTCCACAGCTATGTTGCCTTGCTCCAAATTGTTGACACCTGACTGGAATGAGAAGCCCGTACAGCAGTTTTCATTCACGGCATCTCTTTTGCACCACACCCTGGGCCTGTTCTGAGATATATTCTTGTTCCCATAGTGGCAGGAGAGTTTCTGCACATAATCAGATGCGCTATGTCCTGTGGAGTAAGATTTAAGTTTGTCCTCTGTGAGAAAATTCAATTATTCAATTCAATTATTCAATAACTGATTTTTGTCAGGTATGAAATCTGAACAAATGAGCCTTTGGACTGTGTTTATGTGTGTTTTGACCTTACCTGTGAGGATCATTAGCAGAAATGCTGTTATTAGATTCATGATGACTGATGGACGGCAGACAGTGCTTTGAGTCTTGAAGGATGTAGTGCTCTTAAAATGTTGTTGAAGAGGAAACACATACAGGAAATAACTCGCCACAAACACATTTAGAAGGAGCATGTCTCTTCTTCTCTATTTTTATTATAACACACGCAGTCATCAGAAATCTCCCTAATGGTCATCATTGAATCATTTCATGGAAAATTTCATAAATTTGCCTTTTTTTGCACATGGCGTATTGTACAATTTCAGCAAACAGTAAATGGCCAATTGTGAAACGTGATTACAATTTAAACTGTTTTCTAATTTAATATATTTTAAAATGAAATGTATTTATGTATTTATTTATTCATGTCTCTTCTTCTCTATTTTTATTATAACACACGCAGTCATCAGAAATCTCCCTAATGGTCATCATTGAATCATTTCATGGAAAATTTCATAAATTTGCCTTTTTTTGCACATGGCGTATTGTACAATTTCAGCAAACAGTAAATGGCCAATTGTGAAACGTGATTACAATTTAAACTGTTTTCTAATTTAATATATTTTAAAATGAAATGTATTTATGTGGTTGCATAGCTGAATTTTCAGCAGCCATTACTCCAATCTTTAGTGGATGATCCTTCTTAAATCATTTTGGTGCACAAGAAACATTTTTATTATTATCACATTTTTAAATAGTATTTGAGTTATATTAAATGTTATTTATATTTGTATTTTGGTGAAACCGTTGTACCTTTGTTTTCAGTATTTTGGATGAATAGAAAGTTCAAAAGAACAGCATTTATTTGAAATCAGAAAAAAACGTTCTTGTCACATATCGTCGTAGAACAGCGGTTCGTACTCCTGGTCCTGGGGACTGCCACACTGCACATTTAGCATGTCTCCTAATTCAGATCATCAGCTCATTAGGAAAGAGCTCCATGAACTGAACTGAGTGTGCCAGATAAGGGAGACATACAGAATGTGCAGAGCGGGGGTCCCCAGGACCAGGATTAAGAACCACTGCTGTAGAGGATTGTTGACAAAAACTCTGGTTAACATGGAAAAGCTCAGGACACAGTGTTTGTGTCACTATTGATCAATTTAATGCATCCTTGCTAGTTTTTATGTATTATTATTTTTATTTTGTATAATCGTTCATACTAGCAATTACTGTTCCCAGAAATGAAAGACCCCATGCTGGCCGCATTCTGGCCCAAGCACCCACATAATTAAGGGCCAGTTGTGAACTTTTATTTTGAAAGGCCGTGACACTTGTATTCGTTGTTACTAACTGGATGACCAACAGGAAGTCGTGATAGTAGTATGACATTGTAATAGTGTAGGTATATATATATATATATATATATATATATATATAAAAAACATAATTTAATAAAAAAAAATTATTATTTTTTTTTTATATAATATCCTTCTCTCTACCAAATCTGTTCACTCCACACTCCAGATCAGTAGGTGGCGGTAATGCACCTTTAAGTTGGTTTGCCAAAACCGCCAATAAACATCAGAAGAAGAAGAAGAAGAAGTCGTGATAGTAGACCGTAAGGCTGAATTGTCACGTGTGGTTGTTCAAAATGGTAAGTACAACAGAACTCTTTTGAATTTATAAACTCAAATTAGTTAGACGTATTTGAGTTGTGCCTGTAAGTCTTTTGGCGTGACAT